CGAGGTCATATCCTGGTCGATAGATGCGATGATGTCCTGACTGATACCCTACTTCCTAGGCAAGTCGTAGTATGAAACAGAGAGCTGGAGATCCTTCTATCTTATCCAGAAAGTAGTAACCGGGTGCCAGCTATGCCGGCCAAACTACGTGGACCCTGGGACCCACCCATTCCTGGAGAGTGGACCCTGTGACCCACCCATTCCTGGAGCCGTTCCGGGACCTCGATAACTCTGTATCAAAGTGACACCTACACCAGCCACACAACTGGAACCCCCTGAACCGGTACCTGTCACTAGTGGTTAATGGAAGGCAAAACATTTTGGGTTTTTTCGCTGTGTCGCTACAAGCAATGTTGTCGAAACTTTTGGAAACAAACCATACAGGGTCATAATACAAACAACGAAAAAAATGAACAGGAACAAAAAAACTCAAAAAACACAACTCAAAAGCACTACAAAACCCTATTCAGAGTAGCTTTTGGAGTTCGCCAAATCTTTCCTCGAGTCCGGTATTTTTGCTAAGTTTTTTGTCACTGGTCCAAATGCGGCAAAATTGAATATAGATATACCCTAAAGCACATACGTATCAAGCAAAAAGAAAAACCAAGTAAAAATTCAGGAAAACGTGGCAGTTTCAGTGAAAATTTTGCCAAAATTCGCCAAAATTTGGGCCTTCCATTAACCGCTTCTCATACCTGTTCCGGTACCCCGATGAGTTTGTACCAAGGTACCCATTCCTGGAGCCGTTCCGGGACCTCGATAACTCTGTATCAAGGTGACAGCTACACCAGCCACGCAATTAGAACCCCCTGAACCAGTACCTTTTCCGGTACCTGATGAGTTTGTAGTAAGGTAATTGCTATGTCAGTGACAACTGGACCCAGAAGACCCAGCACCTAAAGCCCGTTCGGGTACACCCAAAAAACTCCCACTAAGGTTACTGCTATGTCAGCCTCAAAAGAATCCAGGACTAACAGCTGGAGCCTGTTCCAGTACCCCAACAAACTCGTACTTAGGTAGGTAACCACGCCAGCGGCAAATGAACCCAGGGGTAGTAGCTGGAGCCTGTTCCGTTAGACCAAAATACCCACATGACCATGTACTAGGAGAATAGACAACCAAAAAATGAACGTCTATTGTTCAATGTGATCCAATTCGAAACCTCAACCTCTTCCATGCAATCCCCCGCTCAAACCTGCTGAGCTGCAGTGACTACCGTCTTCCCCCGAACACAACGCAACCTCATTATGACTGGATCCAACCGGAAAGATGGCTTGTATACATTCAGAATCAGGGTGTGTTATGTTCGGGGGAAGACGGTAGTCTGTTTTATGCGCTGCAGTAGACAGTGAGGCAACTGCACAGCCATCAGAACAACCCATGAACCAAGAACGTCAAGCGAACTGATCATAGTCTAGACTCCAGCACACAGCAATCATGGACTAGACCTCTTGGGTGGTACAGGCAGGAGACAAGGAGATGAGGGAAGGAGGAGAGAGACAGGGAAACGAGGATACACTGGAGCAAAACTTCACGTGGAGGAGGAGGAGAGAGAGGTGTCGAAATCAGAAGAAGTCTACTGCTTCACAATAGTTACCTTAGTGTCAACAAGACTGATCCGTTTATCGACTTCTGACTTCTTATCCATTGCATATGGCGAACTGATAGGAAGGTGCCTGAGGGTGACAAGGCTGTCTCCGATGGACATAAGAAATGTGTGCGTATGTGTGTGAGTGCGCCTGTGTGCGAGTATATTGCCAAGTCATTGATGTTAGCATGGATGAAGCAAGGCACAGCTTCGGCAGAGCAGGTTTGCATATCCCTCCAGCAAAAAGTGTGTGTTGTCTAATGCAGTGAATTCTAGTACAAAGCAGACATGAAAAGAACAAAGAAAAAAATAGAAGGACAAAAAAGAGAATAACAATGACAACAGGAAAAAGAGCTAAGAACACATGCAGAATCACTACCACCAGACTCTTTGCCTCGAATGGTTGTGCACGGTGGGCGGTGTGGGTGCGGGTGTGAATGTGACTGACTTATACATCCGTATGGGTGTAGTTGTGGGTGTGGGTGTGGGTGTGGTGTGGGTGTGGGTGTGAGTGTGGGTGTGGGTGTGGGTGTGAGTGTGGGTGTGAGTGTGTGACCGGGTGTGAGTGTGAGTGAATATACATCAGCATGGGTGTGGTTGCGGGTGCGGGTGGGGGTGTAAGTTTGTGGCAGACTATGCATCAAGCTTCACCCATTTCTTTCTTTCCTTCGTCTTTTACAAAAGGGGTCCCACTTGACCTCATTATATCATTGCTGACGCAATCAAGATTCAAACTCATGACCTGTGTTTATTAACAGTTAAGTGTGATGCATGTGGCATTCACTTACATGAGCTGGGTGTTCGCTGATTGTGTTGTGCATACCACTCTCAGGGTATACTCACTCACACCAGGACTTTTTTACTTGTTTATCGACGCAACTATGGTTCGATTCATCAAGGCGCGGTGGTAATTGTGATCAGGTACATTTAAGATAGGGCTAGTGCGAGTACGCCCTCACCCATATGGGCATGGATGTGCACCCATCTTATCAGTGTGTGCACATCTATGGACAGGACACCTGTTTATGAATGTACATGTGGAGGGACTGGGGGAGGGGAAAGTGGGGGGAGAGGGGGCCATGCGCACATGTTCGCGCAGATAGGTTGTCTTCGGTCCAAAGCAACTCAAACCCACCGTCTTCACCCGAATATAACGCATGGCCATTCACGCCGTATTTAGTCTGAAAGTTGTCCCAAATATAATACATCTAAAATGACCATGCGTTTTATTCGGTTGCCGACAGTAGTAAAAAAACAAGGCTGTCAACAACTTTTTCGATACCATTTTACAACTTTCTATTTACAAAATGAATGACCTTGCGTGATCCTCTTCCTCGTCGTCTTCCTCCTCCTCCTCTTCCTCCTCCTCCACCTCCTCCTCCTCTACATATCCTCAGCTGGAGGTTACTTGGCAACAGCGATGGCTGCAATGGCGATAGAAGACAAGACTTTCGAGGGAAGGACAGACTCTATACCCAAAAGAGTGAAAGCCGCTGACTTAACGACACCAGGAAGACAGGAAACAGAACAGGGAGGTGCAGAAAGAGGGAGACAAGGATGAGCAACCAGATAAGAGGAGAACAGACTACCGTCTTCACGCGAATGGAACGCCCGGTCATTATAGCCGTATTTGGTCCAGTTTTAAGTCCAGATACGGGTATAATGACCAGGCATTCTATTCGGGCGAAGACAGTAGTGCGCAGTTTGTATCGTAATGGTGTGGAGGACAATTGCCAATTGCCCCTTCGCAAAGTTCCGCCTGCATTCTCCTCAGGAGATGGGCAATAACGAGCTGCCCAAAGTGTATGCCTTCTCCTCAGGAGATGAGTGACAACGAGGCGCTCAAAGTGTATGCCTTCTCCTCAGGAGATGGGCGACAACGAGCCGCTCAAAGTATGCCTTCTCCTCAGGAGATGGGCGACAACGAGCCGCTCAAAGTGCATGCCTTCTCCTCAGGAGATGGGCGACAACGAGGCGCTCAACGTATCTTTATTTAGGAGGGGACCAGAATCATGAAGAGGGGGGGGTGAAGCCGAAGGAGGTGAAGTGAAAAGAGGGGGTGAAGTCCCTCATGACATCCGTTAAAATTGGAACGATACACAGAAGATTAGCATGGCCCCTGCGAATGGATGACACGCATAATACAGTAATTAGCGAAATGGTCACAAAAAAAGAAAAAAGAGGGGTTAAAGCTGGAACAGGAGAATTGGACCACTCACCTAGAGTGCAAGCTGAGTGGGTCGTCAGCTCTCTACCGTTCTTCGGGGATTGTTCATGTACATTGTACACGCACACACTTTAGAGACAAACGGGCACACATGCGCAAGCAGGCAAAGGAAAACAGGCACAGTTGTGCAAGCGGGCAGGGCACACTCACACTAGCATCTACCTAAATGTATCTCACAGATTCTCACTGCAATTACAAACAGACATGGATGAATCTGACCGCGATCACGACCAGAGCTTAGTAGAAAAAGTCTACTGTAGTGTGAGTAGGCCCTGAGGCTCACTAACTATCACGACATGGATACACAGGCAGCAGACAGGCAGAAAAGGCACGTACGCACAAGCGACGGAACACATTGGCACACACCCAAGCACCCACGTTGGACACAGGCCGAACCCCTTCCATTGTGAACCCGAATAGAACGCCCGGTCATTACAGCCGTATTTGGTGCATTTTTCAGTCCAGATGCAGCTATAATGGACCGGGCGTTCTATTCGAGTGAAGAACGGTCGCCGTGTGAACCATTCACCGTCGAGGACTCCATGCGAGGTCTCACCATCGGCAGAATCACGCGTTGCTAGATTTGACCAGGTTCCAGGAACGGGCCGCTCATTAGAAACGCAGGATACCGTCTTCCCCCGAACATAACGCACCCTAAAAATGAATGTATACAAGCTATATTTCCGGCCAAATACAGCGAAAATGAGGGTGCGTTGTGTTCGGGGGAAGACCATAGCCGCACACAGCAGCGCCGCGCCGCCACTGTCGGTCGTGGGATGCAAACCGCTGTTCTGAAAGGACATACAGTATCGACTCATGAATTTAGACCTGTAACTGTGCTACATACATCAAGTAAATACAAGTTTTAGTATTTGAGTAGAAGAAGACAAAAAAGTGGAACGGTGAGAGTTCCCCTTCCTTCACGTTTTATGAAAAAGATTTAGTTACGATAAAAATAAATACCATCAATCCGCTAGGTAGTCATTCCTCCGTCTTCCCCCGAATAGAACGCACGGTCATTAATTATTTTTTCGGTGTGTATCTAGACTGAAAGTTGTCCCAAATACCGCTGTAAATGACTGGGCGTTCTATTCGGGGGGGGGCGGGGGGGGAAGAAGACAATAGTCAGATCGGATCTCGTATAGTCAGAGAGCCCGCCGCCATATCACCTCTGTTTCCCACCTCCACGCAACCTACCTTTTGTTTCTCCGCACGGTCATTATCGATCAGTATCTAGACTGAAAGTTAGCCTGAATACAGACATAATGGCCGTGTAGTTAGATCAGATCAGAACCCAACCAACGTCGGCCAACCTTTATTTCATCACACGCTCACTGTCGCCTTCCTTCCACGTGTCGCTTTGCAGCCTCCATCTCTGCACGGTCATTGCCATTGGCGCTTCATCCACGTGATACTCTTCCTCTTCCTCTCCCTCTTCCTCTTCCTCTTCCTCTTCCTCCTTCAGCGCATCCACTTGCCGCCCCATTCACTAACACTCCTATAAAACCCGTCCTCCTCTTTCGGGTCGGGAGGGGGGGGGGGTCGCAATCGACGACAATCTCACGTATCTTTGTCGGATTTCCGTATCTGCCCGAAACCGCGACCAGATTCTGTCCAGAGGGCCCCAGTAAAAAGTATAGAGTTACCACCTTTTCCACCTCAACAGAATCTGGTCGTGGTTTCGAGTAGATACGTGCTTCTCGTTGGATTGCACGTATCTACCCGAAACCACGACCAGATTGTGTCCAGAGGGGCCCACTGGAAATATGTACTTGACACCTTTTCCACCTCCTCTTCCTCTCCTCGCGTTCATATTGGCCTGCTGCTTCCACGTCATCGCTGTCCCTTTTCCACCACATCTTTCTCTCTCTTTCTCTCCTTCGTCTTCCTCACGTTCACACTGAACTGCTACTGCTTCCACGTCATCGCTATCGTCTCACTTTGCACCTTCCCGGTCATCATCATCATCCATTCATGTTGTCAGTCTCGAATCATTCCAGCTCATAGTATTAACGATGACGTGTAGCTGAGCGACGCAGCGCAAGCGAATTCCCACCGGTGTTTCCGAGCGGCCCGTGCAAGCTCTGCACCATGCACAGTCCATTCACTCCAACGCGAAGAGGAGAGTGAGAAACAGGCACACACTAACAACTCCACACTATAGTAATTAGGTCAACGAAAAATCACTTTCCCCATTCGACGTCATCCACTTCACAGCTGAGGCCATCCAAAACAGGACGAGATCGCACAGCCCTCCCACACTCCCGGCATCTCTCTGTCAGCGCCCTCGCCGTGAGCTTTCTTCGCCTCTCTCTCTCTCTCTCTCTCTCTCTCTCTCTCTCTCTCTCTCTCTCTCTCTCTCTCTCTCTCTCTCTCTCTCTCTCTCTCTC